TATATATATATATATATATATATATATATACTGTATATGTGTGTGTGTGCTGAAAAAATATAAAACAAACAAAACAAACATTATTTATTTTAAATTATATTAAAATGTAATAATGTAATATAACTTCATATTTAATCATGTTGCATTATAATATAATGTAATAATTATTTATTTATTTATTTAACCATTTTAAATAAATATATTTTCAATTTTTTACTTTATTAATAAAATAGATTAAAATATACGTTGAAAATATAACAAATAAATTGCAAATATAAACAAACAATTAATAAATAGTATTTATTTTATATTTCCATATTAATAAATATAATATCATTAAATAAATATAATTTTTGGTATTTATTTATTTTTGCTGTATGGGAAACACCAACCCTCTGTAGATCAGAACGTTTAACACAGAACAAAAGTTAAAACGCGATCGGTTCTAGGAAGAATCTGTATATATCTAGAAATAGTGGCTTTCATGTCAGTAATTACAAAACATGGAAACATTTGGACGATATTTTTTCAAGCAGTTCTCTATACATCCGAAGGGGGGCAGCAGCAGTGCTCCTGAGTCAAACTTTCTTATTATAAGCGAAAACAGATGAGGCACGTGGCAAACAGCCACATGCAATGCATTTAAATCAGATTTTGTTCTCAAAAATGTTTTAGGGCTAAATGACTATCATGGAGTTGCAGTTCAGCCCAAACCACCAACTCTTATATAAAAATCCGCCTCTATCCAATCCCGTTTATTTTGATTTAAGAACAAAGTGCACATCTGTAGATATGCCTTAATGGTAAATTGCATATGAGACAATTTCATAAAGTAAACAGATAAACGATCCTGATCTACGTTATTACAGATTAAGCAGTGTGGATTCTATAATTCTCTAATAACAGGCGTCTAAATGGTTGGATGCATTTGTGAATTGTAGCTGTTTTGATATATTCAGCTATTGTAAATCCGAATAACACATACCTGAGTTCCTGGAATCCCCCCTTTTATCTCACATCTGCTGTTATTTTCACAAAATAGTTGAACATCTTTCTCTGAACATTGTTAAATGGTTAAATAAGTTCTCTTTGAACACTAAATCTACATAATGTGATGGAAAACAATGGAAAAGGCTACATTAAGAGCTGAAGTGTCTATGTGCAACCTCATCAGCAGGTGGAGTCCAGAGGAAAGCACCACAGACTGGCAAATTCACATGAGGTGCATTAGGGTTTGACCTTGAGAGGGTTCAGTGTGTGTGTGAGAGAGTGTGTGTCTGCAGGGTTGTGCATGTGTGTGTCCTCCCAACATCTGTCAGATGCATTATATTTCATTATCTAGGCTTTCACAACAACTGCTCTACCTGCATAAAAAGCAACACTCCTACACACAAGACTTTATTAATATGCATTCTGTTTCACCTCAAATGTTTCATCTTACATTTAGGCCAGAAGAGAATAACACATTGGTTTCTGATTATGTAAACAGCATGTACCGTATAAAGTAAAAATGTTAATTTTACTTGAAAATTGCATTTGTTAATAATAATAATAATAATAATAATAATAACAATATAAATATTCCGGGCACTTAAATGAGAAAAATAAATTAAATTATCTAATATAATTTTATCTAATTTTATAATTTAATAAATTATAAAATAAATTGTAGAATTTAATTAAATGTATCATATTTTAATATACGCGAACCGGACATCACTAGTCCATATTTGACCCAACGATGGATTGAAACAACCTAGCATTTTTTAGAGTGTACATAGTTTCAATAAATTACATAATTTATGTAATATATTAAACTAATAATACATTTTTTTAAATATTATATATGATTGATTTATTAATAAATAATTATTATATTATTATATTTAAATTAAAGAACAAATTGATATTTAAATAAATTATATATACAGTGTGTGTGTGTGTGTGTGTGTGTGTGCATAGAGAGAGAGAGAGAGAGAGAGAGAGAGAGAGAGAGAGAGACAGAAAGATAGACAATACAGTGGATTCATTGTCGTACTAGGAGGATGATGGAAATTAAGAGTAAAACACAGAGAAAAGAAGAGAGAGAGAGAGAGAGAGAGAGAGAGAGAGATGCACACACACACACGCACACGTTTCTTATGTTATGGAATGCACCTGCTCTTATTTGTATTTATCCATCTTCTATTTCATCTCAGCCTTCATTTCTATGAATTCAGGGCAGAGTCAATGTTGTTGCTCAAATGGCAGCATAAACCGTTGGGGTTAAAACAACAGTTCCCAAAAATATACAGATGTACTCTGTAGAATAACCTAGCATGTTTGCTAGGCACCTGGCAGCCGCACAGCTCTTGCAAAACTTGACGATAATGCAACCCAACATTCCAGCATCAGAAAAAAACACAAAAAACTTATTTATTGTCAGCGTATATGTATGTTTATTTGCCAGAAGCCCTAAGGTCAATGATGTAGCAAATTAGACGAGAGTGACAGCTGGCTAGCACGGCTGACAGATTTGAGGAATTCGGGCAGTCTGTGAGGACGGCCCTGGCTGAATGTTAAACACTTTTCCCTCAAAGCTCAAAGGAACAGTTCTACCTATTAGCAATTCAAACGCACACACATTCTTTTTCCTCTCGCTACTTACAGAAAGCTGGACATGGTGAGTTGTTTTAGGCAGCGCTAATGTCGTTTTCGTCGACATATTGTAGGCAGATTGGATTAATTAGAAGCTGGAAGTAGGCTACGTAACTCGACAATATGATTCTCATTTAACCAAACATGCATACAAATACATATAAAAAGTCCGTCTACATGAGTATGTGTCTGTGTGGTTACAAGAGACATGTGGTCGGCACACTAAAACAAATTCATTCCCACTATGCAGAGAGGTAGACAATGTCCATTTACGTACTTGCAGTTCAGTGGCTGCGGTCATGTGCTCTCGCCAGCGCACAGAGAGAGAGGAGACCTGTGGTTTTAACCCAGTCAGAAAGGAGGGAAAACGGGAGGGAGGGAAGGGGAGCGGAGTGATGACAGCTCATGATGTTATACATTGCAAATGCGAGCTGGGAAGTGACCGAGTGTGGGTTAATAAGCCGTAGAACGAGGAAAAGAGTCCAGAGATGACAATGTGGCGTATGTAAGGGCATGGGGAAGCTGAAAAAAGGGCTTGTGAAAGCACTGAAAACACGCGAGGTATTTGGAAGGCATTTTGGGGCACAATCGCCAGTGTGATGACATCCATCACAGCTGAGTTTCAAAAGAAAAACGGGTGTGAGCCAAACAGCGTGTGTTTCTGTTACCTACAGTGACCTTCTTTCCTTCTCTGTCATTCTACAATCATACTTTCACCCCATCATTCAGCTCCTCGCTTCCTATTTCCATCGCTCTATCCCTTTCTTTTCACACTTCACTCCCTTTTACACCTTCGTCTCCCTCCGCCGACTTCAGTTTGCCGCCGCTTCCCCTTCCTCCCCGGCCTACTAATCTACGCATAACAAGTGCTCATACTTCAGCACGGGCCAAAAGAGAAATAACACAGAGAAGGAAAAATGGGAGTGGGGTACAGTCAGGCAGAAAAAGCAGAGAAAGTGTTTATTCAAACTCAAAGCTGACTCCTTTGTTGTGGTGAAGTGACATGTGGCCCAACTCCATTGAGAGAATAGATTAACTATGCTCGGTTCTGGACTGTGAACACATTCAAACCATTCAGCCAGAGCTTTGACTGAGCCTTTGATTTCAAATATTGATATTCATAAGTGCTTTGGTATCTGAGAAATGACATGCTCAGTCTACTACAGTTGTGGCATAATGTTGATTTCCACTTTTCTCTGTCTAAAGGCCCGTTCACACCAAGAACAATAACTATAAACGATAACTACACTAGCATCAACACAAACACAATCTGATTGGCTGTCAATGTTTTAATCGTTCGTCAGCTGGAAGAAAATTGTTGTGAAACTGATTCCAATGAGATTGTTACTCTGTGCCATTATCATTATGGCTGTGGCGTGGACTCTGCTTAAAGTTAAAACTATTTTTAATACTATATCTTTGTCTTTATAGTTATCATCTTTGGTGTGAACTGGCCTTTACAGTGAGGCACTTACAATGGAAGTGAATGGGGCCAGTTCAACCCAATCTCATGAGAAAACTTAAAGAGACAGTTCACCAAAAATGTAAATTCTGTCACCATTTACTCTCTCTCAAGTTGTTCCAAACCTGTATGAGTTTCTTTCTTCTGTTGAAGATAGAAAAAGAAGATATTTTGAAGAATGTTGGTAACCAAACAGTTGACGGTAGCCATTGACTGCCGTAGTACTTTCTTCCAATACTATGGAAGTCAATGGTTACCATCAACTGTTTGGCTACCAACGAGTTAGTAGCAATTTCGTATAAATTTGTATGATGTGATTCATATGGAAACAAACAATTTTAAGAAAATAAAAACATAACCATCAGTTGGGTATGAGAGAGATTTTACGAACTGATATGAATTAGGCACCAATTTGCCAAAACATAAAATAGTTACAAATTGCTATGAGAGTGTGTTGGCCAATCTGTAAACGTTAAAATACTCACTGTTTCAATAGTATAGTCACAATATATGTTAATGTTATTTCTGTGTGAAAAAATTACTTCCTAAAATGTTCTTCGTAATGTTATATTCAGTTTTACTGCTTTGCCAACATGACAATGCAATGCCATAAACCCTAAACCTTTAAAATAATCCTAAAAATGATTAATTAAATAGATTTACAGCTCAAAGAATGCACAAGTTTTAACAGAACTATTTAAGTGCTTTTTTATAAAATTGTGTCACATTTCTGCTTTTAAATCCTCCCAAAATCTTTGTCCCATTTACTTCCATTGTAAATGCCTCAAAATGGAAGTAAATATGCTCAATTTATAAAGGATTTAAAACACTGTAACCTTGATTTTTTTCCACAAGTGAGTTGAAATATTTATTTATTTTTGTGGTAATCAACACAAATGTTCCTTTAAGAAAACTAAAACAGAATGTTGAAATTCTAAAAGAGTTCTAAAAGAATGTGCATTTGATACCTTTCACATGAAGATCTCTGGACTTCATCTAAAAATGTAATCTGGGTGGAGGGCCTGAAGTCCAGACACTGAAAGACAAAGAGCAGAGAAATGCTGGTACAAAAGGTTATACAATCACAACGGTGAGTGTGATCCAGTCAACCAGCCTTCCTAACTCTAATACTCTAATACTGCTGTTCGCACAACTGGGTGTGTATACATTGAATATCAGATCATGATGACCTGCTAATTGCTCAATGCTCTCCAGTGGAGATGAAATATCAAACCATTACACTAATCAAAAATGTCTGTTGTCTCTGGAAATTACGGGATTTTTAAGGTGAGAGGAAATGAGTTATAGTATTTTGGAAATGTGACACGGCTCATTTAGGATGTTCAAAACCGCCAAGCGGGCCGTGACCTGTCTAGCTACCCGCTAATTTACATCTCTCTCCTTCACTTGCACACATCTATTGCTCCTCCTGGATGGGGCACAGGGGTGCTGGGGCGAGAGAAGGGGGGTGGAGAAGCATGCAGTGCTGGCGCTTGTTGGCTGACCCGGGTGTCTGCGGTTATATCGTGGTCAGAGGAGGAGGGGAAACGGGCGGTGTTTCTGAAATCCCTGTTAAATGTTCATTTTGGAACGACTTGTTGCTTACATACCTCTCTCACACCCTCTCTTCTATTTTGAAGTGTTTAAATATGGCCTAATATTGCTCAGTACCCCTTTTAGGTTTAACAGAAATCTAATTTTTAAGGGATGCACTAAGTAAGTGTTTGTTTAGGTTTAGCTGGTACTTATTTGCCAAGATAGTATCAGTGGTTTTACACTTTATACTGACACCTGTTGGTTTGGATGCATGAGCTTTGTTCGCTAACTACTGCTGCTTGTTTGTTTATCATTTTATTCCTGTTCATATGTTTTTCTCTACCTTACACTATATCCATATGATGGATATTCTAGATTTAATCACAACATATTTTCATCGTTGACATCATACCATATTTGCTGGTTGTACTAAGTTGTTTGTTTTATCACTCCGGTAGGGGCTCCCTGCTAAAGAAAAAAAACCCAGCTAAAACCAGCTGGTTGGCTGGTCTTAGCTGGTTTAAGCTGGAAGCTGGTTTTAGCTCCCAGACTGACCAGCTAAAGAAGTGGTCAAAAACCCTCTAAAACCAGCCTGCTGACCAGCTATGACCAGGCTGGATGACCAGCTAAAAACAGCTAACCAAGGCTGGTTTTGCGTTTTTTTTTTTAATTTTTTTTTTAGCAGGGCTGCTGGTTATAGAGGATTTGTGTGTATGTTTGTTTTTTTCCTGTTTTGTTTAAAAAAAAAATTTCATGCAAAAAGCCTTAATAAATGCATTAAGTAATATTTTTATCATTAGTAACCGGGTCAGCTGAATGACACGGCAATGTGATGTCAACATGGCGGCGACCATGAGGGGGCGCCCCGCTCCATGTACTGGCATGTACATGGCATGTAGATTAAAACCGCTTTTTTCTCCAAGACTGACAGGACTTGAATCTTTATCGCACGTGGTATTTCTCAAAACAGTTCAACGTTTTAATTAACAAACTAACGACTGAATGCAGCGGGACGTCCAGACTTCCCGAACCCTTTCCTTTTAATAAAAGGTCACTCGGTTTATGTAAGCAGTTTTAAAGTGCTGAAAGTTTTGAAATCGGTTACTGCTGGACGGTCGAAGCGCTTCTCTTCCATCGCCCCACCTTGGTGATGATAAGTGAGCTAGAAACATCGTCCCATCATCATCCCTGCCCCTGCGCGCACCCCGCCCATCTCCGTTCCACTTCAGCTGCGCTTCCTTCTCATTCAGCAAACGCACTGTCCTGTGGCGAGAGAGGGGTCCTTTCCACCCCACAGCCAAACAAAAGAAGCCTGGAAAAGGAGAAAATCTAGCAAAGGCTTCTTAAAGGGCAGGAGGACCCCTGAATTCTGCGGTTTTGTGGGAAGACAGCAGCGTTCTTGAGGATACTGCAGGAAGGAACACTGGGAAGCTTTTTAATATCCATCTATTGTCAGTGTGTCATGTGAAGTGTGGGATCACACAGGAGGATGACCTGTTTTTCACCTGTCGTTCTCCAGTATACACCCGAACAGGTTTGCTTGCGAGAAGACTCTCTCTGAACAATCCTCCAACACGCGCTCAGATGCTCACCTGGGTCTGTGTCCGGTTTTGGCTCCAGCTTTTAAAACCATCGCCTCAAAGATCTCACTGTCCGGGGTGATAGAAGCGCTGGAGCGATGCAGTCCACGCTGTCCTCTGCTGTCGTGCTGTAAGTTTCGCGTGTAATTGTTCAGTATGAGTTGAAGGCTGTTTTGTAGCGAGTCTCCATCTACTGATGGGTCCACCGTTTTGTCCAGCTTGAGCATTTGTTGTGTTTCCCATCTCTGGGTCAGACGATAGCCTCAGCAGATGCTGGGTTCTCATAATAACACATCCCACCCAGTGTCTTCTCAGATAACAGCAGCATGCACACTGATAATGAGACTTTCTAGGTCTGAATCCTGTTTAGACTAGGGTAAAAGTCCTGTGTTGGTCAATAAGCATGTCTGAAATGAATAAACAAGATAGTTAATGCTTAAAAATGCTACTCTTTGCTAAAAATGTTTTTGTTAAAAAGTAACCATAAATGAAAATATCTACAATCAAAAATATTTACATTTTGCAAAACTATTAAAGTTTCAAAATATATTTTTAGTCATGAATATCACAAATATTGGTTTAGTCCATTTAACCTGTAAAAATGTGTTTTAAAAGTTAATATATTTGATTTTTTTTTTACCTAATACTCATAGCACAGTCATGATGGTCTAAAGGGGTCCCTACTGTTTTATGGTTTTCTTGACACATGATAACAAAATGGCTT